TTTGGTTTACTTTTAAATGGTGGCACCATGGAACTAAAATATTCCCTTGAAAATAACCATACTCAAAGCTGAAAGGTGAGGAAATGGTGAAGCCTAAAGGGAAAATTAGGTATCCATTAATCAAAGAAGCAAACAAACAATGATTTAAGACAACCTGCCTAGCAAACAAACAATGATTTAAGACCTGGACAACCTGCCTTTAGAACTTCCTTGAAACCTGTGGAAGAAAAACCACCACAGGTTTCAAGGAAGTTCTAAAGGCAGGTTGTCTAGGTTTGACATGGTTAAATATTTTGAGTCACAGGTAGCCAATGGGGAGACCAATTATTACTGAAATGTTTTAAAGAATGGCTGATTTAAATAGCATTTAACTGCCTTTTTGTATGTGAAGTACATACAAAAAAGACAACACCCAAGTGGAGGAACTTGCTTAAATACATTAGAAGCCAGTGAAGGGAGCAATGTTTATACAGAGAAACATCAGAACTTTCTTTTTAGGATAATTTATTTTTCCTTGAAATATTTAGCCTCAAGATTAAAATCAATCAAAACCCTGCAGTGACACCGGCTGCCAGATTATTTTTACTACCACTCCATACCTGCCTTCAGATTCTAAGTTATGTGTCCTATCATGTATGACCCTAAATTTTGTTCCTCATTTGGAAGAAAGAAGCTAAATGCGATGGAGAGAAAAAAATCAACTGCTAAAGTGGATTTTATTGCCTCATTTCTGAAGGATATGCTCTTCATAATAAATGTAGAGAAGCTGGTAACATATTGTCGGCAAGGACAAGGTCTTCATACGTTCCCGACGTTTTCTTGATGTTACTGTTGTTCAATCATTATGAAAGTCAGACTCTGTCCTCCTCTAGCCTTTTGTATGTTTGCAGGTAGAAAGATGGCACGGTGTCACAAAGGAGTAAAGTCTTCCTTCTACTCAGATTTGTTTTTTTTTGGGGGGGGGGGTGTTCAATTACAGGCTTCTTAGCTTTCACGCCCCTCTCCTTTTGCTTTAGTCCAGAAATGATGCAGTATCCAATCAGAGAATGACCTTCCACTATGCAAAGTAGGCTCACAGAGAGAGTACCATTCATGGGAAATGAGCACCATGTGACCTCTTGGAAGAGACAAACTGCTGTTCTTGGTAGAGAGAAACTGCTGTTCTCTCTCCCCACCTGAGGGTTATCTCCTTAAATTTCTGCAAAGCAGGATGTATCTAGATTAGGCTTAATTGCCCTGTGTGGTTGATAGGCTTCCCTTCATATGCCAAGTCCAATTGATTAGTAGCAACTGCCTGGAGAAGAATTCTGAGGAAGGACTGGCAACACATGTATGATATGCTTTATTTTTCATGACTTTGATGTTATCAATGAGAAGTTTCTCGGATTATAACTCTATAGCTAATACCACACTGGAGTATTATTAGCTCACCTATTAACCCAAATATTTTAAAAATCAGTGACAGGACATATTTTGTCAAAACCAAATTGATTACCTGCTACATCCAGCTATTCACAAATTCTAGTAAGATATTTGGTAAGGACATGTAGTGGCTAATAGGCTTTACGTGGAAGCTCTTTTACCTCTTATAAAAGAACTTTTATGAATTCATACTTACAGGATCCCCTCCAGAGGCAAATGAAATAGACTGCATATGATGATTGGCAATAATCTGGAAAACATAAACAAATCAAACATGTATGATGCTATAAGTTAGTTACTCCTAGTTACATACAATCTGACAGTAATAGACATACATATATATTTCATTTTGGCTTGGACAGCATCTCTTTGAAACCACCCCACCCACATTCTGTATTAATCTCACTTAGACCATGAGACTTTGGGTTGGTTTGACATGCCCATCTCATTGCCTCTCTCCTTGCAGGTGGGCACATGATCCAGGCCTAGCTAATCAGAACACACTTGAATATATCAGAGTCAGTCAGTGTCTTTGGGGGGAAACTGATGTGGACAAAAGGAAAGGATACATCTCTTTCTCTTTGTCTTTCTCTCCCCCCGCCCCCATTAAGGACCATGTAAGCCCAAAGATTCTCTGAGCTGTCTTTTGCTGACATGTGAGGAAACCTTACTGGAAAAATGAAGCTCTACCTCTGGAGAAAAAATAGCTGAGAATTAAAAATAGAATAAAGTCTGGTGGTGATTGTTTCATCATTTCAACCAATTCCTGTCTCCCTTTATTGTTTTTTCTATTTTAATAACTTATTTTTATATAAATTAGTTTGAATTGGGTTTATTTGCCATGAAAAGTAGCCTAAAGAACTAACATTAAGATTTCCAGTATGAAATGATTATTCAAGGGAATTGCATTACTTAGCCAAGAAGTTTATCTCTTTCACTTTAGATTCTAGGATTACTTGTTTGTAATACCCACAGTGTAATGACCAATTTGCAGAGATGTATTTCCCAAGTTGTTTTGAAGGTACATTAAAATATCAGCTGTGCACCTATTAATTAATCTTGTCTTCAGAAGTGTTTAACAGAAGATAGTAAAGTAGCTTATGTAAAATGACCAAGAATTCTACTCCTAAATGTATGTATATCCAACAGAATTGTGTAAATATGTGTACCAAAAAGTATGCCAAAGAAAGATAATCACTGACCTTTTCATAGTAAAGTACAACTTTAACAATCCCAATCAAATGACTATTGTCATATTCAAGCACTGAACTACTACATAGCAACAATATGTTTCTTCAGCAAAAGAAGGTAGACACAAAAAAATACAGGTTGCATGGATTCATTTGTACAAAGTTCAAAAACAGGCAAACTTATTTTATTCTGCTTGAAGTCAGGAGAGTAGTTACTTCTGAGCAAGGAAGAGACAGCAAGGGGTTTTCTGGGATGAAATCATGTTTCTTCACCTGGGTAGTAGTTACACAAGTATGTTCATTTTGTGATAATCATGATGTGTACACCTCTCTCTATTTACATTTCAGTTAAAATGGTTCCAAAAAATATCAGTATACAATAATCAATGTCATTCCTATATATTAGCAATAGTCAATTAGACACTGTATTTGGGGGCAGAGGGAGGTATATTTTACAAAGGTACCTATGTATAAATCTTAAAAGATTTGTTTAAAACTTTTTGGAAAAATTCATTGAAGGGTATAAATATTACCTGAACAAGTAAAAAATAAAAGATATATATCCCTTTTATGGATTAGAAGGTAATACTGTAAAGATGTCAACTCTCCCCCAAATTAATCTGTAATTGCTATGCAATTCCAATAAAAATTCCACCCATGTCATTCAGAGAACTTTTCATGCTGCTTCTAAAATTCACATGGAAGAATACATGTGCAAAAAAAGCTAAAGAAATTTTTTCAAAGAACAAAAAGACTAGATTTTCCTTATTAGCAATGCATATTATAAAGCTAGAAATTTTATTAGAATACAAAGTCTGAAAACAGACTCACATAGTCATATGGACTTTTAGTCTACGGTAAATGTTGCATCAAACAGACAAAAGGACAAGTGATTAAATTAATGGAGTTGGCTGAATTAGCGAGAGAGAGAGAGAGAGAGAGAGAGAGAGAGAGATGGAAAATATATAAGTAAATCTTGTCTTCATACAATCTATATAAATAAATGTTTGATTCATAAAAGATCTATACATATATCAGAAGACCGATAAAAGATTATACTTATGATCTTTGAGACAGGAAAAACCTATATTAATAGACAGAAAAAGACATACCAAAAAACCCCTTAGATTACATAAAAACCCATTTTAAAACTTTTGTATAAGAACCCTATAACAAGACAAACAATAGTGAAAGAGAATGTCCTTGCAACATGTAAAACAAAGTATTCATATACAGAGTTTATAAGGAATTCTTATCAATCAGTAAGAAAAAGAAATAAACTCAAAGCCAGCTAATTTTCAGAGGTAATACAAACGTTCAAGAAATATTGAAAAACAACCTACAAGAAATTAAGACTATTCAAAATAAAACAAGGTAACATTAAATTGATAAAACAGTCAAGTTCAACACAATCATGTGTGGCAAGGGTGTGGATAGTCTTAAACACTTAGCTAGAGCTTAAATTTGTACAGCAACTTTGGAAAGCAATTTGACAGTATTTATTACCACTAGAGTATGCATACCCTATGACTCCACCTTTCCGCTTCTAAGTATTTATTCTAGAGAAACACTGGCACACGTGGACGTTCATTTAGCCACAGTTTATAGTACAAAAAAATCAGAAATTATTTTTACACAAACAGGTCAACCATAGTATAGTTATACAAAGAGAATGCTATGGAAAAAAACCCCACATATACTAACAAAGCTAAATTTTCAAGACAATGTTGAGATGTTTGTTTTATAAATTGAAGACAGTTGTATGAAATGTAATAAAGTTTTCTCCTTGAGGACCTAAGATTCACGTAAATGCAAAGAAAAAGGATCTAAAGAATACACACACCAAATTGATATTAATGGAAATTTACCCCTTGCGAAGAGAAATGGGACCGAGTATTTCCTCACTATAACTTTTTAAAAAGAGCACAGATAATATGCTTATATACAAATTTAACTTTTTGTAATGAGGATCAGTTCTTAACATGTTGATTTGTGGTTGAGAACACCATGTGTTTGGAAGTGTGGATTTACAAGTCACTAGCGCAGACAAGAGGTAGTTAAAAACCTCGGAACAGACACCATCGGTGGAGGTGGGAGGAAGGAGCAGGCGCAGGAGGAAGGAAGGAAGCGAGAAGGAGGACGATAGAGCATTACAGCAGGCTTGTGTTTCCCAGTTCGTAGCATCGTAAGCAGCACAACGGTTAAGTAAAACGGAGACGAAGTAATGCTCTTGCATGCACAGACTTTAGATACGATTTCGATCAAACAAAACAGACCACCGAGCCGCGAGGACTGTCTCCCGCGACACAGCCAGCAGCCCCACACCCTAGCAGCGCGCCAAGTGGCGCGGCGGTGTATGGGGGTCACGCAGACGCACGGGGTCGCGCATGCAGTTTGCGCAAGCTCAAAAGCGGAGCGCCGCGTAAGCTCCGATATTGCTGAAAACATCTTGCAAGAGATTGAGCCGCGGTACCATGTTGGAAATGCACGAGTTGTCCCAGCTGTATGAAGAAAGCAATGACCTGCAGATGGGTGTGATACATGGCGAGAGTGACCTTCCGCAGATGGAGGTAGGCCGTGCGAGCCGGGAACCGTCCCCGAACCCCTCCCGCAACCGGGCCCAGCTGCAGCTCAAGGAAGACGGCCCAATGGAGGAGGAGGGAGCTGAACCAGTGGCGGGGCCGGAGGGTGACCGTGGTCTTGCTAAGCGGCCCAGCCCCGGGGAGCAGCCAGGCCAGGCCGAGGGCCTTGACTTGGAGATCGAGGGTGAGCAATTTGATGACTGGGAGGATGACTACGACTATCCAGAAGAAGAGCGGCTGAGTGGTTCAGGCTACAGAGTACCAGAGGCCCTCGAAGAAGTCAAGATGTTCCTGAGAACGTCCAGAGCAAGAGAAGCAGCCCTGGATGGTGGTTTTCAGAGGCACTATGAGAAGACCCCATTTGATCAGTTGGCTTTTATCGAAGAGCTTTTTTCACTTATGGTAGTTAATCGTCTGACAGAAGAACTGGGTTGTGATGAGATTATTGATAGAGAGTAGTTAAATGTAGTTACAGAGGAGGAAACTACTTGAGGACAGACCCAACATTACACTCGCGTTTATTCCAGATAGTTTTGTGCCAATGAAAACCTTGATCTTCAAAAAAAATGTTTTGTTTTGCAGAATAGAATAGGCAGTGATTACACAATTGTGGAAAAGTAAAAACTTAAAGAAAAAGGATTTTAGGACTGTTGAAACTTGTTTTCAAAAATATCGTGAAACGCCTGTGGCTTTGACTTTCTTATCGATCCAGATTATTTTCTGTGCATTAGGGAAAATTACTTCCATATTTCATTGTAAGGGATGGTTTTGCAAGAATAAGTTAAGACCAAGACAAACTGCCAGTACAAGAGCTAATTACTGATACTAATTACAAGAGAAAAAGTAGTATGTCCAACTTTGGACACCAGATGTCTCTGAGTCATTTGGACAGAAAGGCTATTGAGAAAACTTTGAAGATTCCACTTTGTGATCTCTCCAAGCTGTAGTTATCAAAGGTAAATTTTTAGTGTATGATAATTGAATATTCTTAGTGTCCTGGAAGGATAAGCAAACCCAAAAAGAAATATGTATCATGTGTAATATATCTTAACATGTTTCCAAGGGCATCTGAAATTTTATTTGTACATGTATGTTAATCCATAATAAAGCTACTGTGATCTGTAATTCAAGAAAATTCATTATCTTGACCATTTTGTTAAAAGTCAGAATTTAAATCCTTATTAAATTTTCAGATTCAGACATTGAAATTTATGTGAAAGTACAAAGAAAAGAAACTATTTCTAATACTCTCATATCTTAGAGAAATTTTGTTTTATCATTCTCTGTTAACTTTACAGGGAAAAGGCTGGTTGAACTTTATAACGCAAGAAATGTTAAGTGGAAATTGTCATGTAAAAGGAAGGCCTGCATTTAAAAAAGACTTTATGAACAATTATGCTACTAACCTTTAAAGATTTTAAACCTGTCCAGAAATTCCTGAAGTTTCCCTCTGTCTCCTCTTCTAATTAAGCTTCTTATTGGTTATGCACCAGCATTTGAGACAATAAAAATTTCCTGTTCTGTGTATTTTGTTTGGCTAATAGTATTGCATATATACTTTATGTACTACTTTTATTGTATCCTACTTTTTTATTGTATTTTGCAACCACATTATGATTTAAATTTAACCACTATAAGGTAAAGTTCCAGCTTCAAATACATGATTTGCAAATTAATTTGTGGAAACTAAATTTAATAAGTTTCTGTATGAGAATTTTCCAACCTGGGAAAATGAATGAGCATGTTGCTATGGCTATTTTATTAAGGTTCTAAAGTTCTGTGATAATTATGTCAGGAGACAATGACCAGTAAAACTGAGTATACCATCAGGTCTTATGATCAGTAAAAAGGTACTAGATGTTCCTGTTCCATTATGGTAGTAAAAGACACATCCAGTACAACACAATAACTCCAAGTCTTATGCAGGGGGTTTGTTTTCTGTAAAACACGGATGGGCCTGACAAGGATGAGGATGAGTGTAATCGCTAACACTGGCTTGGTGCGGAGGAAGAGAGAGATGAGGGGGAAGACTAGATAGTAGATAACAAACTTAATCCCGCCTCACTTCTTTCACTGCACTTTCAGCCAATTTATAGCTGCAGTTACGTGAGTCTGTGGATAAACAATCAGTTGCTGGTGTGATGTGAATTAATGGTACTCCGAGAAGAAAAAAGGTTGCCAGTACAAAAGGATGCCAATACGCAATGAGCTGACCAGCTGCATTTACCTCCTGATAAAGATGACAGGAAATAGGCGCCCCCCCCCCCAAAACAAAAACAAAAAACAGGTCTACTCACCTGGAGGTATGATTCTGTTTCTCTGGGACTGACAGAAACAAGAGAAGGGGAAAAGAAAACCACTCCCTGTTGGGTTTGAGGGCTTGTTTTGCAGAGAAACAACTGCATTCTACAACTGACTCTGAATGGTTGGTTGTCAGTAGTGAACTGAGAGACTACTGAAATTAATAGTTGGTAATTTACTGAGCATAGAAAATTGTAACATTTTTAACACCCCTGTTAGGGGTGTAAAATCACTTGTATTTCTATTATATTTAAAGTTATCACAGACTAGAACCAACCTACCTGATTCAAATCTAGGCTCCACTATTTACTAGCTCTGTAACTAGGTAAATTACTTAGTATTTCTGCCTTAAGCTCCTGAATTGAAAATAGGGATAATTAGATATATGTATATCTTCCTTTAATGGGAACTAAAGAAAGGATTCTGGGGAAATTGTGTTCCTGATTTTGTGACGTGGGGAGAGGGAACTTAAAGAAGCTTATGAGTATGTAATGTGATTGGGAGCATTTTCTTGATCAGATATTTGGTTAAATGAGCTATTTCATATCAGCTGCCCTAAGGACATATGTCTGTTTTTTGTTTGGCTCATGCTTCTAATTTTAATTTTTTATTATTTTATTTTATTGTTTATGCTATTACAGTTGTCCCAATTTTTGCCCCATTGTCCCCCTCCGCCCTGCCTGCCTCACTTCTATAGTCAGTACCCCCACCGTTGTCCATGTGCATTGGTCCTTTATATATGTTCTTTGATTAGTCCCTTCACCTCTCAGTTAGTCCCTGCCTCCTGCTTACCCTCTTACTGCTGTCAGTCTGTTCCATAATTCAATGCCTCTGGTTTTATTTTGCTCATTAGATTCCTCTTATAACTGAGATCATTTAGTATTTGTCTTTCACCAACTGGCTTACTTCACTTAGCGTAATAGTCTGCAGTTCCACTCGTGCCATTGCAAAAGGAATTCCTGTCTTTCTACTGCATAGTATTCCATTGTGTAAATGTACCACAGTTGTTTTTTTTTATCCACTCATCTACTGATGGGCACTTAGGCTGTTTTCAAATCTTGGCTATTGTAAATCGCACTGTTGTGAACACAGGAATGCATATATTCTTTTGAACTGGTGATTTGGGATTCTTTGGGTATGTTCCCAGCAGTGGAATTGCTGGGTCAAAAGGCAGTTCCATTTTTAATTTTTTGAGGAAGTTCCATATAGTCTTCCTTAGTGGCTGCACCAGTCTGCATTCCCACCAACAGTGCACTACGGTGCCCCTTTTCTCCACATCCTCACCAGCACTTGTTTGTTGATTTATCAATGACAGCCATTCTGACTGGTGTGAGAGGATATCTCATTGTGGTTTCCATTTCCATCTCTCTGATGACTAGTGATGTTTAGCATTTTATTTTTATATAGCTATGGGCCATCTGAATGTCCTCCTTGGAGAAGTGTCTATTTAGGCCCTTTGCCCATTTTTTAATTGTATTATTTTTCTTCCTCGTGTTGAGTCATATAATTCTTTCATATTTTGGAGATTAAACCCTTGTTCAATATATCATTGGCAAATATGCTCTCCCATACAGTTGGTTCCCTTTTCATCTTGATGATGCTTTCTTTAGTTGTGCAGGAGCTTTTTAATTTAATGTAGTCGCATTTGTTTATTTTTTTTCTTTATGTCCCTTGACCTAGGAGACATATTGGCAAAAATACTGCTACACAAGATTTCTGAAATTTTACTGCCTGTGTTTTCCTCTAGGATTTTTATGACATACTTAAGTCTTTTCATCCATTTTGATAAGTTCTTAATTAAAAACCAACACTTCATAATCAAAAGAGCAGTAAAAGTCCCAAGCTTCCCTCTTTCCCCACCCAAAAGTGGGGATCTGAAGGTTCTTGACCTACAGTGACGGGAGAAGCACCTGGTTCACCTTTACACTGGAAGGCACACTGTTTGCCACGTTCCCCAGCGTTGTGTCCCTAACATGGAGCCCAGGTGGCACTCACCGTTTATCACTGCGCTTGCACCATTGTTTTCTCCTGTACCTCAACACTGCATTACCTGCCTGGCCTCTGTAAATACTTGCGATTAAAAGATGCCTCTATTTTCTGTTTGTTTTGCCCTCCACATCTCCGTATTATCCTTCTCAATTTCAGTAGCTGTTAGAGTTGGTGGTAGAAGATGTAGAAATGAATAAAGAAATAGAAAGTGGAAGCTGCTGAGACTGACATTGTTGCTTAAGCCCTAAAATACTAAATTAAGTATGCCAAGAAGCCTGTTGCTTGAATAAAACAAGGAATATACAAAAACAAAACAAAACAAAAACCCTATAACTTGCTTTTCCAAAATGTATTTTGCCATCCCCAAATATGGTAAGTTTTTAAAACTGGAAGCATTAAATGTTTTATTTCCTGTCTCTGAGGTTCTTGAAATAATTCAAGGGTCCTGTATTCAACGACATCTCATAACTAAAAGCATTAAGCGTTGCTGGTACCATACGCGTGTGAAAACTAAAAATAAATTTTAGATCTACGAATGTCTTGAAGGCAAAGCTTCTGAAATACTGAAGGAATGTTTTCCCTTCCACCCAGATGTGTTGCGTCTTTTAAGTACAGCCCCAAATGGTCTGCTGTCATTGTACCGATGGTATCACCTCTCTTGAATAACCAGTGAGGGCCCAGCTGGACAGGAATCTATTTTGAACTGTTCCATGTTAAGCATTTTCCTCAGTGATGATTTATACTACTTTGTGACCAATGTATTCTGCTTTTGAAGTTAGAAAATAAAGCAGCCCTGAAAACCACAAGTGAATTTTTTGGCAAAAAATGGAAGTCAAAAATGTATGTAACTATACTTAAATGTTATTGACAATTCTGTAATTTTATATAATATGTTTCTCCTGTTAAGTACTGGGTATATGAAAAGGTCTCAAGAATGTCTGAGTAAATAATAGTGGGTATCATATGACTGGCACTGTGCTAAGTGATTTACATCCATGGTCTCACCTAATCCTCTGCATAACCCTGTGAGACATACAATTGCTAAATCCATCCTGTCAGAAACACCATGAATAGGTACTGTGACCCTCATTTCACTGATGAGGAAAATTGAGTGCTAGGGTAACTTGCTCATTCATAGCAAAACCCGGATTTCAACCCATATGTGACCTCAAAATCTCAGTGTTTTGTCTCTGCCAAGTACACAGTAAACCTTCCATGAGTCCCTGATCAGCAGCACTCTGTACAGTATAAAACCTTAAATATTGAAAATCTCAAATCACTACAAATAAGAAAAACTCGACTCTAACACACATAAATAACCTGATATAAGGAAGTTAGTTTAGAAAGTAATAAGCAAGTCAAAAATTGTCCTGTTTTAAGGTACACAATTAGCCCAATGTATGCTTCAGCAATGCTGTTCTTTGTGAAATAAGGTTTACAGGCATACCACAGTATCATAAGTCATCAAAGATGAGAAAATTATACAATAACATTTTAGAAAGCTTTCAACCTCAAGGGTTGTAAGAAAATGTTTTCTGCTTAAATTTGAGTTAACTAGAATATAAACCCTAATATCACCCTTCCTCTGTCCTTAATTCTGATAATGAAATTGCTTTTTCTTCATAGAGGGTTGGCAGAATGGAATAAATGACTGATTCAAGGATAGGAGTTGCCAAATGGTATTTACTATATTCTTTGCACCTTGGTTTTTATTACTAAGGTAAGGGGCAAGTATGTAAGGAGTCAAATGGCCCAGCAATGGGTTAGAAATGCCATTCTTATTTTTGTTTTATATAAATTCTTGTCAGATTCTGCCACCGCCGCCCCAGGCCTTAGTAAAATTTAGGTACACTCTGTCTGAATCTTTAACCTCTTTATTATGCCCAAGCTCCTCCAGAGAAATAGATAATATGTTCAGCTATAAATGACATCCATGATCTTACCTGTTGGTTGTCCAGATTCATCAGTGTGAGGCTGCATGTTGAGATGGTCAGTTTTATATTCATTCCTGAAAACTGAAGGTTACTTTTGCCAAGAACTGTTGATAAGAACTTAACTGGAGGCTTAAAAAAGAAAAAAAACACTCTATGTTACAAATATTTGTTAGAGAATGAATGTTCTTTAAATGTTAAAAAATAAGTGAAATGAGATGAAATTATTTTTTAATAAAAACTTTTTTAAAGTTGGAATGCAGCAAATTCTTTAGTAAATAGTGAAATTTGAGCTCTCAGAACTTTTCTCATACATTCATTTCTC